TCGGCGATTTACACGCATCAGATATTTGACTTTCTGAACGTGGAAGTTATCAGATGAATTCGAAGGCTTACCTGGTCGAAGATCATCTTCAATTGACTGACGACCACAATCGTGAAAACTATTCGTAACATTGCGTACGAGTCAGAGCATCATCTCCGTAAGCTTGTTTCAAAAGCTGAAACGTTTCCGTGAAAGTTTTCCCCAGTTTCACGCAAAATTTTACGTTGCATCGTTGTTTGAGAAAATCGCTCATTTCAAAAACTGACACCACCTAAACATGTCGTACTTAAATAACATTATCACGAAAACTAAATGAGATATCAACAATCCAAGAAGAAGTTGTAGAAGAGGTTATGCGCAACGCAATGCTGTCAACCGTATATCACTAAATACCTCCATTAGTGCGTATTTAAAAAAATTGCAGACCTTTTTAGTCCCTATATGTTTATTAATGCAATGTATCACGTTTTAATTTTTTTAATTTTGATCTGATATTGAGAAACTGACTAGAAGCTTCACGTCCCGTCTTTAGTAAACTCTTAGAAATGACTTCAAGAAAAAATACTTGTTAAACATATTGTCGTGACGGATGAGATAGCTCTGCCCACAGTCGTTTCTACATCTTGTGTTTTTTTTAATTCGCGAACTTACAAAATAAAATAATTGTTATTTAAGCTATTGTATGTATTATATTTATTTAAAGAAAAAGGTTTTAAAGGTGGTATTTTATTTCTAATCAGAATTTCTTCGGTTTTAACGTGAGCGTAAAATTCCTCAGTCAATTTCCGCTCAGATAATTTGTTATCTTCCGTGCTATTTTAAATATTCCCAGTAATAATTCTGCGGTTAGAGTCAGCAAACAATGACTTAATTTCGTTTTACAGCCTCTTAAATGTGTCTTGTTGAATTATTAGCGCTTTAGTCGACTTCGAGGTCAAAGTACAGTTGGCTAAATTGCCATATTTTCGCCGTTGCTGTTATGAAAAACCTAATTGGCCGCGTTAAATAACCCCATTCTGGATGTGGGACGACTGCATGCATGAATCATAAGTCCCACGATTGATCGGCATCCCGTGCATTTTTAATCGTTACCCGTTCACAGACAATAATGGCTGTGGTTCGGCAAGGACACGTGCTTTAATTCCGATGCTAATTCACACTTGATTTTGTTGAAAATACGCGTAGGTTCCCTGGAATAGCTCTTGCGTAACTGCGACGTGTTCATCATTTTTATTTGGTTCTTTAGTCGCCATGTCGGTACTATTATTTTCAAGATGTAAGGAAGTTGGAGGATAGTTCTTGCATAATAACTATTTTTGACCAGTGAGTCACTACAGTTTTGAAGAAATATACAGGGTGTTACAAATTAGTAGGCCAAGACGTTAACCGTTAATATATTCTTTGGAATAAAATAATGGAATACTTCTTATACTACTTTTCATTTCGGAGCACCATTTTCAAAATTCAGTGTGTCAATATCAAACTTTTAAGAATGATTTTTATTGACAGCTCTGGTGATTTTAGAGATATTTGTGTTAAATTTGGCACATATTTTTATCTTCAGTGGGCACTTTCTGTGTAATTTTGGTCTAAAATGTCAAAACGTGAATGGAGGAAAGGAGGGTTGTAGTACCCACGGACCTCTTCAATATTTTTTGAAGACGTTTACGGTTTCAAAATATTTTTATAGGTAGAGCGTCTGTTGTGAAAAAAAATAGAATACCATAGAATAGAAAAACCATAGGCGTACCTACTCAAAAAAAAGTTGGGGGAGTCCGTGGATACTACAACCCCCCTTTGCTTCGTTCGCGCTTTGATATTTTAGACCAGTTCAAAGAAGTGGGTTAACGGTTTTACCTACTAATTTGTAACATCCTGTATATCTTTTGTCTTTTCATAACTAAAATTATTTATTAATAGGTTAAGTACAGTCATATAAATGCCCAAGAAATAACATTCAGTAGCAAATTTACCTAATATTTGTTTAACTTAAACTTTTTAAAATTCGACATTATTGAAAAAATGTTTGCGTAGATCCAGTAAAAACAAATTATTTACTGGGACAGTATTAAATTAATTTAGCTAAAAAGTGTGTTAATGTATGTAATAGATCTTATTACATTATACAAGTTGGTTAATATTCTAGAGAAAGTCACCCTAGTGTAGTGAGATTTGTTATATACTTATTTATTTACATATTTATTTCATGACGTTTCTAGAATACGTATTTCTTCCTTTTATGTTTATAGAAGCTTAGATATTGTTCTACATTGTTCTTAAAAATTTATGGGAATTTCGTTAATCGGCGAGAAATATATACACTGCCGATTCTTTGAAGGTTAAGATTTAGTTACAGTGAAACAAAAATTGTAAAAGTTTGTAAACTATTGTGTACTAATTGTGCTAAACGAACATTCTAAAACTATTTTATGGATTATTAAAAGGGCTTTCTATACAGGGTGATTCACAAATGGTAACCAAAAATGAAACCTCGTAACTATTCTTTGGTAAATTTTAAGGGGAGTATTTTCTATAAAGTTTTTATCTAGGACGCTTCGTTAAAAATATACAGGGTGTTAACTTTCAGAAAATGTTTTTAATTTTTTTTAAATAATTTCAAAACTAGTGAGAGAAATAATTTGAAATTGGGCACATGTATTTATGTAAACATAGTCCAAAACCTGAGGGCTTTTCATAAAATTTACATGCTCCAGTGGCGGTGATACAGGATATCGGTTGCATACTTTTATAAATAAAATAGTACGCCACTGCTTTACATAAATACTTATGTAAACATTGTCCAAAATTTGAGGGCTTTTCCTAAAATTTGCATGCTCCAGTGGCGGAAATAGAGGGTAACGGTGGCATATTTTAAAAAATAATTAAATAAAATAGTACGCCACTGCTTTGCGGTAACAACCATGATATTTTCGGATTCGCCTTTCAATTTTCTACAAATTACTATTCTCTTATGTTTTTCGAAGAAAGGCTGATTTTCGAGTAAAACTTAAAGAAACGAACTGAGAAGACACTTCGACATTCGAATATACTGCTTTTTTAATGACATAGTGAGCTGCGATAGCAACTTTGACATTCTGAGCAGTTAGAAGAAAGAATAAATAATGCTTTTCATCAGATTCAAGCAACAATAAATTTCAAAGAAATTATATTTTCATTACTAAAAAGATGTCGGACCTGTGTTCGTGGAAGTGGAGGTTTTTTCTAGCATTTACTCAAATAAAATCATTAAAATCATGACTAATGTTATTGATTTCTTTATTCTAATAAATAAGCGACTCATTAGGCCTCGTCAAGTCATTTAAGTAAAAATGTTTTTAGTTGGTTTTTTAACTTTTACCCGAAAATCAGGCTTTTTTAGAAAAACATGAGAGAGTAGTAATTTGAAGTGAAAATATTATGGTTGTTACCGTAAGGCAGTGGCGTACTATTTTATTTATAAAAATATGCAACCAATACCCTGTATCACCGCCACTGGTTCATGTAAATTTTATGAAAAGTCCTCAGCTTTTGGACAAAATATTTCACTTACTATTTAAAAAAATTATAAATATTTTTTAATTTAACACCCAATATCTTTTAACGAAACGGCCTGGATAAAAACGATAAAATAGGAAAGACCCCTTAAAAATTCACCAAAGAATATGAGGTATAATTTTTGGTCACCACATTTGTGAATCACCCTGTATAGCTAGTGCAAAGCTTCATAAAATAAAATACAAATTTTATACCCTGACGTATCACTCACGAAAAAATATACTTATTCCTTATTATTTTGAAAGCCTTAGTGTTTACCGGATTAAAGCTCTTACTTAACATTAACAGGTCGGTGACAAGAAAGCCAATAAAGTGGGTTTTATACACCAGTTTGGTGACATGAAACTCTTCTGTAAATAACTCTCGTAAATGAATATTTTATCACGTTGTCGAAACTTAAAAATATTGTTTTTTCAAAAAAATATGGGAAAACGGTTTAAATATAGGTATTACTAGTTTTGTCCTATAATAGTAGATAATATGTAGTTTCTTTTGCAAGAGAAACTTTATAGTAAGATAATAATAGATTTCACACAATTTTAATATATTTAATTAAACAATCGCCTATGATTACAGTGTTCACTTGCTATAGTCATTTTGTATTGAATTAAAATTTTACGAGGTAATAAATATATAAACTACGATGTGTACTTATAGGTGAACACTTACAGCGAATGTTGCACTTACTACTTACAGTCCCTCCCTATTGTATTTGCTACTGTACTCGCTATTTACTGTCTTCTTATGTCATTTTGAAGTTGTAGTGCATAAATCAAATACTTAGATGGTAACATATAATTTAGAAAAGAATAGTGCTAGCACCAATCTTCTACCATAAAGATTTTAATTTTCATCTGTAAAGTAAAAATTCATGAGATTATTTATTATTAAAGTTGTTGAATTTGTAAGTAATCTCCTAGGTTGTAAAATAACAAATATGATTTTAAAATATTCAAGCCGTTGTGATTCACCACTTACAGATACAATAATAATTTCCAGTTCTGAGAATATTTATATGAATCTATAATTATATCAACAGCGGCTATGTTCGGAAAATAGTTTGAAGGTTTTCTCAGCGTATGTAGATTGAGTCTGGTTTTAGGTGCATATTTTAGTATAGTTTTATATGCGAACCGAGCAAGTAATTATGTAGAATACCATTGATATTTAAATCATCACGTAAGCTTCTCCTTCCAACTTATATTGATTAAATATCTTGGACGCTCGAAGAAAGGGTAGACGCTGGCGTTTTGTCCGATTCCAGTTATGCAGAAATAGTGGGCTTCATAGCAATAATAATCTTGACCGGTCCAGCTGCACATCTGCCGACTTTAACCCTTCCTTCGAGATGCTGCGCCGTAGCGGCGAGCAGTCACCTTAACACTGTAGTAGAACATTTTGGAGGGGTGATTGTTAGTGTTCTAATTGTTGCTTTTGCTTTGCAGACCGCCACAGAAGACATTCGTCGACAGCATCAGCAGTAGACTCAGGACCTGCAACATGCGCTAGAACCTAATAAAAACGACAATCGCTTCGCTTTGCCTACCTGCTTGTGCAAGTTCATAGTACGGAACGAAGCTCCTCTCTACAAACCTCGTTTGTCTAGACCGTCTTAATTGTTATAGAACAAACAGTGTGTGATCCCGAGTCGAGTTTATTTTTTATACACAAGAAGCGTGATAGTATTTTAATAGTTACTCGAAATGGACAATAATTCTACCTGATCTAAAGTTAATTGAACCGCAATTCTAATTGGATTGTACCGCCGTCGCGCCACGTCCACACTTTGAACTCGCGTCCAGTTTGTATTTTAATAGTGTCTTTGAAATCACTTTTGGAAAATTCGTTCTGTCGGTACAATGGCTATGGTTAACATGAATAATCTTTTGAACGGGAAAGACTCTCGCTGGCTCCAGCTGGAAGTTTGCAGGGAATTCCAGAGGAACAAGTGCTCCAGGCCGGATACCGAGTGCAAATTTGCACACCCTCCAGCCAACGTCGAGGTCCAGAACGGACGTGTCACAGCCTGCTACGATAGTATTAAGGTAAGTTTTTTCTTTTAATTTTTTCAACATACCAATTTATAAAGAACGCAGCCATACAGCGACATATCAGAAAACAAAACTGCAGGTACTAATTTCATTAACAGATAAAATAAGGAAAGTTTTCGTATAATTTCACTGTTACATCATATACGTGATAATTATAAAATACATAGCCAAAAAATAGGAGATAGGAACATTTCAATTTTAGAAGAAAATGCAAAACAAGAAAGTTGCAAAAAATAAAGTACTTTTAGTTTATTTTAAAGATATTAAGTTAGTCCAAATAAATTCAAACAATTTTCTAAAATGTATTAAACATGTAAAATTAAGTAAAAATGCGAGGGCCCTATATTTTTAAATAAAGTTGTACTGCCAACATCTTTTTAACAAAAAAAGTTACATATTTTAAATAAAATGCAGCATAAGTCACTAGAAATCAATTACAAAATAGCGGTGATGAGGGGACAATCACCATTAAACATGCCATTTTCGGGAACCTGATGGATTTTTCTGGAAGAACATCCCAAACAAAAGCGGTCTAGTAATCTGCCTTGATTTTGAGAAAATAAGAAAAATGATAAGAGCATTGCTGTTAAAATCCATTTTCTTTCAAATAGTGGTTTACATTTTACTTTTATTATTTTACTCTAAAAACTTTAGTTGTATTTTCCTTAGTAACCCTTAATAAGGTAATGGATTGGTAATATTTGATAGCACTTCATGGCATATTTTAGTACATCCGCATCTCTTTACAGTAACTAAAAAAGTATGTTTTGATTTCAAAATACCCCAAATACTGAAATTCATGGGGTTTAAATCTGGGCTTCGTGCGGGCCATGAAAAAATAATAAAATAATCTTTAGTTTTTTACGTAAGTAACTACAAACTTTTATTTTATTTTATTTTATTGCATCCAATAGAAAAACAAGAAATAAATCGAAACCGGTTAAATTTATCGACATAAAACAAGTATCCCTTATTTGTGAAAAATAGATAGGAGAACAATATTTTGCTATTAAAACATTCGTACACACACTGATAAAAAAGTTATAACCAGTTTTTATCAACCAAGAGTACATTTCGTAGCGCCCTGTAGCGTCTACAGCAAAATTAAGTACGGATTTGTTTTTCTCGTCCCCGAAAATCCCCTATTCCAAATTTTCAAAAGAATCCTTTGAAAACTTTCTAAGAATTTTAAGAATTTCGAATTCAAAATTTGAACTTTAACACCCTGTAACTTTTTTATTAGCCACAAATGGACCAAGGTAAGTTTGGCTTAATCGCATTATTTTGATGTAAGGAATCTACCCTTGCTCTGTGTCCCATTAATTTCGGGACACCCTGTATATTCAATTCATTACACTATCCGCAAGTTTTTACCGTCTTATTTGTTATGGATACTGATACATAAAAAGTTATTTTCGTCCCGAGATAATAAACAAACAATTTCCTTCCGTGCGTCAAGCAGTTCAAAATATGTTTATTTTGGAATGCACCGAATAAATAAAGGGACAATTTCGTCACAAATAATTGAAAATTGCGCTTTAACGAGACGATTAAAATTTGTTTGTCTGCATTTGTTACGATTTTCGCTCGGATTTTCATTATATTACGCAATTATCTGGAGGAATTATGTTCTATACGGAAAATGTGAAACTGGGACAGGGTTATTTTTAGTATTTATTCAACGGGTAAATCATCGAGGAGTAGCGCCACCCACTCTCAATAACAAATAACGAGGATTAGAAGAGTTATTTCCATCGCCACGAAAGAAAAATATTAAATGCAAAATTGAGGAAGCCTCTCATTTGACCATTGAATTGCCAGCCTATCTTCCAGACAGAAATTAAGACATGCATATTTTATGTTCACATTAACAGCCTCCACAGATAACGGCAATAATTTTTTCTCCTTCCCACGGCGAGAGAGCCTTACTGCAAGGTTCAATTTAGAAGCGATTATGCCATTTCAGTTGTAAAATGTATTGGCTGTCAGACCTTAATGGCGTTCGTAATAATTTGCAGCAACTAACAGTGACTAATAACGCTCGTTGCGAGCCCGGAAAAATACTGTGTACCGCTGATGACGCTATTTTTTATGTATCTAGGTACATTGTCTGGCATTTCGAGTTGAATCACCTCTGCGAATGGTTTTTTTCGAGTTTTTTTTGTAGCAAAACCGAAAAATCATATTTGGGGGTCTATGAAATTTCGGCAACTTTCAAATTTAGCTACCGTTAATTTTTAAATTGCCATGTTAGGAGACTTTTTTGCATTCGGGATATTTCCAACAAAACAAATGATGTATTTTTATGCATTTTTTATTAAACTCCCATTTAGCAAAACTTAGTTCATATTGTTTATGATTTATCTAAAAGTATGCAAATAAAAAAACATACAAATATTCCACGGTAAGGTAATTTTTATCAGGGATTATTTTACTTGAAATGAATGTACTGTGTGTATTGGCTTACAGTTTACATACGAGAATGTGATGATTCCACATCTTTTCCATATGTAGGTATTTCAGAAACATTGCATTTAATTTAAAATTCACCTTAGCAGGCCCATATTTCATATAACAGTGTCCTTTTTAGAAAAATGAAGATTCAGAATTCGTAAATTTTATTTCTGAAATTTAATTACATTTCAAAAAACAAATTATGTTGGTTTACATGCAATATCACTTGTGTTTCAATAAGCATCAAAACGTATTTCAGACAGCAATAATTTATTGTTTCCCACTCTCATCTACTGTAGATTTTACATGAAGCTGTAATAATGCTATTATAAAAGTCATTTAATACTTGTAGATATGTATTTTTTAAAACATATATCATGACATTAAAATAACTTTAAAAATGTAAACAGTTATTCCCATAACACAGTGTTTTAATATTTTCTAAAGTAACTGTTTTGAATCACAGTCGTCGCATTGTGAAAATCATGTAACGAGAGTTATGGTTATTGGTTATGCTACTAAATGCTACCAATAAATCACTTGAAATAACCAACTACTAACTTTCCATTGAGCTTGCTAAAAGTCAGTATGTCATGTATCATCTTTTCTAATGCGGTCAATAAATAAAAATGTAATTAGGTACATATTACTATTGATAAGCTTACTCAAACCTTAAATACCAATCTCTTGGAAAAATTGCCAGAAAACTGTAAAAAAGACAGCTAGATAAAAAGTTAACTTGCTTTTGATATTTATTTATTCAATCCATTTATTTTTATGATAATAGGATGTTATTGTAAAGGAATTTCCATAGTAACTTAAATTTTGACAACTAAAAACTAAAAATTCTGATGACAGAACAAAACATATTTCTTTTAGAAATTCATTTAAATTATTTCTAAAAACTGTTTACGTTGCACTCTACCAGATTTACGGTAAATTATTAAATATTTTAGTTCATATCAATTTGGTTGAGTCATCAGTTATCTCTTACAACTTATTCGTTTGTTTTGTACTTAATCTGTGAAAATTAGATATTCTTATTCTTAAACACGTAAACGCACATCAGTAATACATACAGACTTTTGTGTATTGCCACAGAAGCAGACACCATACCTAATCGCGAATCAGTTTGTACATGGTGGAATGTTTTAATTTATCTCCATTTTTTATTTTTGATTTATAAGAATATTTTAAAATTTCAAAATAAATATGTCAAATAAGTTTTAGATATTAAAATTTTACCATGATACTTTGTTTTCTGTCTTTTTTCCTACGAAAAGTTAGGCGAATTATGACTTAGTTATTTCAAGTGATTTTCAATCCATCATTATTGGTTGTTTTAAAAAAAAATTGAATATACTCATACATGCATAGTAGGCTGATTTAAAAACAAATTGACTATTTTTTTTTTCCAAAATCCCCTCTGAAATAGATTCAGGGACATGGGAAGGGATGCCTGTAAAAATCGGAACTCTTAATATTAATATTTAGAGGTCGCGCATTATGATTTTCTATTTTCCATTTAAATAACATGGGAAATATTGTTTTTCAATTTCAAAATTCTATGTCTTAAAAACCAATAAACTGATTTAAATTACCGAAACATATTCTTGTAGGGAATTGAACGTTTTATAAAAAATGTTCCTTATCATTTTTTGATAAACCTACTCGTACAAAATGATTAAAGTTATCATGAAATATTATAAAAAAGGCATTTAAAAGTCAAAATTGATAAGTTTATCAAGTCTTTCAAATTAATATGACTGAAACCCCCACAATTTCTGGGAAGAATCGATTAAAATCCTTTTTATTGTATTAAATAGTATTTGAAATTTTTTTAAATTATTTCTTTACTAATGATTAATGACTTCAGTTGTGATAATTTAAAATTTTCCACTTGATAAACTTATCAATTTTGACTCAAATGCCTTTTTTTTATAATATTTCATGATAACTTTAATCATTTTACCTGAAACTGGAGAAAAAAGTGTAATTATAACATAAATTTAACTTTGAATTTGAATAACTTTTGTACGAGTAGGTTTATCAAAAAATGATAAGGAACATTTTTTACAGAACGTTCAATTCCCTACAAGAATGCGTTTCGGTCATTTAAATCCGTCTATTGGTTTTTAAGATATAAAATTCTGAAATTGAAAAATATATTTTTTTTAAATGGGAAATAGAAAATCGCGATGAGCGACCTCTAAATATTGATATTAAGAGTTCCGATTATTACAGGCATCTCTTCTCACATCCGTGAATCTATTTCATAGGGGATTTAAAAAAAAAATAGTCGATTTATTTTTAATCAGCCTAATGCATACCTTTCTAGTAAACATATACGATCGAGGTATTGAAAAAAATGGTGCGAAATTATTGTTTTAAGTATTTATTCTTACGATTTATGTTTTAATCTCAAGTGAATCTGATTTGCAAACAATTGTAGTGCGAAGTCTGTAATTATAAGCAAAGCTTGGCCTTAAAAAAATGTAAACCCTCGTGTAGGTAGAAAAAATGGAAATGTTGTTAAATTA